TAAAATAACCCAACTTCGTTATACTACTGACTGTTCCTTGGCAGTTTGTAGATATCACTCGGTTATGTCGTAGCAACTAACGAATTGTACGGCAGACAATCACGCCAACTTTCGAGTGGAGTCTGAGTTCCCACATTATTTTTTTGAGAAAAAAAGAGGGTAGTGCCTGGTAGCACTTTATGGAATCACAGGCATATAGAGGTATATTGAAATGGTAGATGCCTTAGGGGAAAAAATATGTAGTAACTTACGAGACTCCTGTCATTGTGATCATCGAGGTTAAGGAAGCCGGTACCAGCTAGTTCCTTGGTCTCCACCATGGTGCGAAGTTCGGCGAGGAGATTCACGTGTTTAGACATGTCCGTCGCCAACACCTGGAATAAAGGTGATGGGACACAATTAAGTAAAACGGCGCTGGTAAGCGGCAGTGGCCAATCAGAGGAATATAAGCGAAGTACAAATCACAATCTTATCGATTACTAGGCGTAATGACTTTCCCTCTCCAAAGTACTAAGCACGGAAACATTGCTTCGTAGGGATGTTTTGTATGGCCACTTTAACAGGACACAAGAGCAATAACCCCCGTCAACTTAAAATAGGTAACCTTGAGATAAATTTCATGAGGTGGGGGAGAAGGGGGTAAAATTCTCGCGTTTTAACTCTAACACTTATCACTGATTTGTTTGCTCTTCATTGTCAAATGGCCGATTTTCATCCCCCAACAACAAGAACAAGGTCCTCAGCGCACGAGGCCAGCACCAAGGATGACTGAAGGTGAATTGAGGGAGTTTTCGCTGAAAAAAAAATTGAAATGAAATTTTTAAAATAGAGCAAACCTCTAATCCTAACCCCAAGTTTACGCTTAGAACCCACCCAAACCTTAACCCTTGACACAATCGCGATCCTACTTCCACAACTGATCTTAACCCCAACGTGAAATGTAACCTTAATCTTAATCCAAAACCTAAATCCCCTGGAATGTGACGCAAATCCGCAGGGCGGCTTCTGTTCTCGTGCCATGTTAAGACGACCATCCCCATCGTCCTTACCCCTTTCCTCGACGGAGCAACTGGTCACGCGGGGGGGAGGCGTGAGTGAACTTCGGCGATGGAGTAATTATCACGTCAGTGAACAGCACCAAGGGCGAAATTACGGAAATTAGCGATTCCGGTGTGAAAGCGAAAGCAGCCATCGCACCAATTACGACCACCAGTGGGGAATGCGCGAGGTGCTAATTATGGCAAGTCAATACTCACATGGCAACTGCATGCTCCAGAGACTGCGATCGCTCTAACTTCAGCGGACCACATACGCGACTGTTCCTGACTTTAGCTTCGAGTTAGGACCCGAAAATTTGGGTAAATAAATGTATTATTCCAGCCATCGCATCTTGTTTGTCGAATTACCTCCCACAAATCGCCTTTTCACTTATTACAGTCAAGACTGCGCACAGGAGACGTTATGGATGGAACAAGAGAATTTTTCGGTTGATGTCTCGGATACATAATTGAATCCACCAGTAGATACTGCCTGCAGAAGTGTTGCGTTATTTATACGCTTCAGTCACAAGGAACGTTTCCGTACTCATCAAGGAGGACTGCGCGCGAGGACCTCAGACCTGAGTCGGTAATTCTCGTAATTTCATCAATCATATCCGTCATCGGTGTGATAATGGCTTAGCAATTTGTCTCACTGAACCTTGCACTCGGATCAGTGAGGACAGAGTTTCAGCACTGAATATGGAAAAGGTAGACATTTTGCTTATAATTGGACTGGTAGCCATCACTTAGGCAGCTCTCGAGGTAATGCCGGCCACATCAAAAGTGTGGTTGGCTTCCGTTGAATGAGCCAGAGCCTAGGAGCTAGCGTCGTCTCTGCTGCTTCACGTTCGGCCATCCGCGTCCACGTACTTGGTTTGCCCATAACCGTACTATAATTGCTAAAGGATTCGAGAAACCTACTGCCATGACAATTGGTCTGCTGACCGTATATCTTTCTGCAGTTAGTGAGCAATCTCAAATTTAAGCGGAGCGAGAAGACTAATGACGGCGTTCGAGACGTTCCTAGCGTTGACACAGTCGCGCTATGAGCCATTGGCTCTGAATATTAGTCAAATGGGTTGTAATTTAGCAACCCTGAAGCATGAATCCGATCTCATGCGAATAAAACACATCCAGTGAGTGTGTCTTATTCTATCCGTCTGTCTTCCTGGTTTAAATATAACGCGCTAACTTCATAGTTCTTCTCACCCAAAATACTATCCTTGTTAACCTTCCTTCAGTGGTCAAGGTATTGCTTCGGCACTGAGTTCTGTCTGCACACCTCATGGTTAGCTGCTAGCGAAGTTCCTCATACCTACAGATGCCTGACGAAGACCAGCCAGAAGGCGATATAAACTCAAATCGGGAGGCACGAATGTCGCAAATCAACAAGCCTGTGTGCCTGCTATCACACTTCACCGATGACTCATTGCGTCCTCTCGTGTAAGACAACTGCTCAGCTGTCAATTCTATCAACTGACGCGGAGGTCAGAAGTATGCATTTCGCAAGGTCAGATGTACGTGTGAGACATTAGAAGAATGGACGATGAGGATGCCTTGTATGACCGCCTAAACACGACATGGGAATTGGAACGCCCCACCCACACCTAGTGAAAAAATTCAGAATGGGTAACTGTTCTCGTGTTTTACCCTTAACCTGAATCTTAACCCTAGCCACATCGTAAACCTTAACCCTACGGTTAAACGAAGCCAACATTTAATCCCTAACATAATTTTGATCCTAACCTTAACAACAACCTTAATACGAAACCTAATTTCTCCCCGAAGTTGGCGTAAAGCTGAATATATTGTGAGCAGTTCCTGTTCCTCTCTCCTGTTTCGGTGGCCATACAAGTCACCCTTACCGAAGAGATGGTAGGAAGGCCTATGGCAGTGATAATGAAGGAATTTAAAGAAAATAAACCGGCCCCGCGAACTCTGTCCGGGTTAAATATCCGGTTATCAATTTTCCAAAAAACGAAAACTGTTTGCGTCAGAGAGGAGAAAGGGGTTTAGGAGTGGGTAATGTCTCTTTCGATGAGGCAATTGAATACCCTGCATTGTAAAGCAACAACGTTCTAGAAAGATGTAATTATACGGTGGTTGGTCAAAACGACTGCTTGCTGTAAAAAGCCCTGCACAAGTTACCCTGACCGGTTAGCAGCGATTAGAAAGAAGATTTGTGATTACACAGTGCATATACGTTTCTAGATGAACATGGACCGTGTGGATCGATAGATAAGAACATCTTAGGCCGCCCCGAAAATTTACCCAGTTCCCCTGTACGTGAAGAATGTCTCGGAAGCCACCGCCAGCCTTGAAGTTAGGGTTATACGGCGACCAGAGGACAGTTACTGAAACGGAAACAGCAACCGACAGAACAAGAGCCTTCTGGTGCTGCTGTGGACACAGCAAATACGGTAGATAAATTGGAAGATTACATTGGACGCGGATGACCGAACACGCAGCAGCAGTGTAGATGAGCGATGCCAACTCTTGGATCACTGTTGATTCATAAGAGATGACTGAAAACCACGTCGCTGCCAGATGCCTGAGTCATGGTTCTCCAGCCCGCTTTCCACAAGCAAGAATAAAGAGCACTCCTCCATATTCACACGCGGGGAGCGTGTAGACGAACTTCACTCCGAATTACGGTATTAGCGAACCAAATTATCGAGTACGTGTCAATAATCGGCACGTGTGTTCGAGCTGTAGCAATTACCTGTTGCGATACGGGCAAGCAAGGCATCATCACACCGAGTTCAACTATCGGCGATTAATGCGGGAGCTAAATATTCTGATCAGCACGTGACCGTATATCCCGTAAGTACTATGCAATTTGCGTGTTCACTATCCTTAGTTGTGACTGCCTCAAATGGTAGGTTCCAATCCACCAACCACCATTCACAATTTCCCCCTGCATACTTTACAATGTCCGATTGAAAACTGTTGCATTGGCTTCGCATGCAGTCAAGTTACGCACTTCCGGTAGTGGACCATTACGTGAGCGGACAAAGGGCGGAAGAGTCCTTTTTAGCTTCTTGTCAGGACCTCGAAGAAGCGGCTACATCTGCTTCTACTGTCAGACCTTGTGATGGAAAAGCTGCCAAAGCATGCTGCAGTCTTGCGAAACACAAGAAAAAACCCATACGTACTTCCCGTTTTTCAAAAACAGCATTTGCATACCTTGTGTTCAGGGTGCATATGTACCTGTAACGCAAACATTTAATTAGCGAAGCAAATGCAGACCAGCCCGAATATTGCTGACCAAGAACTGCTCTGGATACTTACTGATGCTGTTGCGGGTAGCAGTGTCAACAAGCAGAAGGATCCCCCAAAGCACAAGCCAAGCAAGACAGTACTGGCGAAAAAAACTATGTAGAAGTGGTGTCACCGGCCAGCTGTCAGGTAATTCTGAACGTCAGATGTGCCTGAGAAGTTGTGTGTATGTGAGTGAAGCTCTGGTTGCGGGACGAATGCTCTCGCGGCTGCCACCAATCAAATGAGGCGAGAGTATTGATTGACGTCAAGCATACGCGTGTATGGAGCAGTGAGTTAATCGATGCCGTTTGATAAGCCGACGCGAGTTAATTAATCCTATAGGACTCAAGTTATGGCAGCCAAGACGAGGATGACTCACGCGTAGTTGGGCTAGGCGGCAGCCTCCTACAATGTAACCGTTTATAAAGGCGAGCTTGCCAGCTAAGGGTGGGTATAGGATCTCATCGTGGGTGCAGTCTAGGCATCGCTGGAGTGAAAATTCCCATCAGAAAATTCAGGTTGGCAGTTGGAGCGTACGAGTCGGTGATTATCCAAAAGAATAATGGAACACCTCCCGGCGGGGCTGGGAAAAGGTGAAGTCAGGAGCATGAACAGCACTATTCTCGCGCAGATTGTTGATTTCGGGCATCGTGTGGACCTTCTGGGTGATTTGTAGGGTCCAAAGTTCCTGAATCAGTGCCTTCTAGCAACAGCAGAAGCGACGGCTATCGGGTTGAGGAAGGCGGCCCTGTGTGCACAAAAGAGCATCCTGCAAGCTCCACGCCTGGCGTGGTCAACGGTCAGTCTCTCGTTATCGCTCCCCCTCCCTCTGGACAGACTT